TGGCACATAACAATTGATGGCACTTTATACATATATATATATATATATATATATATATATATACACACACATATGTGCATTTTCTTAATTTCCTTAAAAGATATAACTAAATAAAAATTTCTAAGTTTGTATTTTGGGGCTTATCAGATATGTAAATGTAACATATATACCACAACAAATAGCACTTAAGATGGGGGAGGAAAAGTAAAGGAAAATACACTCTGCAAGGTTCCTATATTTTACCTGAAGTAATTCAGTATTAACCCAATGTAAACTGTGTTAAGTTAAAATGCATATTGTAATCTCTAGAGCAACTACAAAAACAAAAAGATACATAGCTGGAAAATTAATAAAATGTAAAATACTAAATGGTAGTCAGTTGTCTCATCACTATTTCTCATAGATTTGAAATTCTAATTTTCTGATGTACTAAATACCCATATACTTTTATGGATCCATTTCTGAACTCTTCATTTTGTTCTACTGTATTTGTGCATTTCTGAACAAACACCCATTGTTTTTGCTTGAATCTTTATTATTTCCTTTCTTCTGGTGACTGTAGGCTTTTCTTGCTGTTCTTTTTCTAATTGTTGGACATGTTGGTTTAAAGTGTTGATTTTGGCTCTTCTTTTTGATGTGTGCATTTGTTGCTATAAATTGGCCTCTGATCACTGCTTTTACTGTGTCCCACAGATTTTGGTATGTTGTATTCTCATTCTCATTTGATTCAAGGAATTTCTGAATTTCACTTTTTCTTCTTTTGCCCGCTCTTTCTTAAGGAGGGTGTTGTTCAGTTTCCATGTGTTTGCTCTTTTTCCATTGATCTTCCTATTGTTGACTTCTAATTTAATAGCATTGTAATCTGAGAAGATGCTTTGCACTATTTCAATGTTTTTAAATTTATTCAGGCTTGCTTTATGGCCTAACATATGGTCTGTCATGGAAAATGTTCCATGTGCACTGGAAAAGAATGTGTATTGTGCTGTTGTTGGGTGAAGTGCTCTGTAGAAATCTATAATGTCAAGTTGGTCCATTGTTTTAATTACTGCAGATTTATATTTGGATATTTAATTGTGTAAGCCCCTCACACTTATTAATTGATCTTTCTGCAAAATTAACTTGACTATTACATACTTGATTTTTCATATGATTTTTAGAATCAGCTTTCAAGTACCATAAAATATACTGTAGAAAATAGTTGAATCTGAGGCCTGATTAGAGGTAACATGTCAAAATACTGTATCTGGAAAACAGTGGTCCTGACAAACAAGGGGCAGTGCCTGTAGACCATGAATTACATAAACCTGATATTCTCCTACAATTGTGGCACTAACTTCATTCAAGTTATCACTGCTGATGCTAAAGAAAATGTAAAAATCTTTTTAGAATTCTGACTGTGAGATGATGGAGGAAATACAAAAACAGGTGAACTTGACCTCACCACAATGTTAAGTCAGCCCAAAATATATTGCTTTCTTATCTTTTTCCAGTGGCAAATCCTGTTTATAGCATCTCAAAATGTTGGAGCCCATGTGTGATTATGATCTCTATAGGACACAATCCTATGAGATTTTGATGTTCCCTGAAGAAAAGACATTTCATGTCTACCATGTAAACCATATATGGCTCATCTAGCCTGTGGAACAAATCAGTATCAGGAACAACTTGGTAAATTAATGAAAGAAA